TTATTTATTTATTTATCTTCAAACCAGAAAAGCCAAAAAAGGGCCTAAAAACTAGTCGAGCTATAGCCTGAAGTTTAACACCTGTGAGTTTGGTGTTTGGTCTGAAAAGATAAATTGGGCTGCACACAAAACTATAGTTCGACTCATATTGGAACTCGAACCGTTAATTAAAGGCCTATTTGGTTTGCTGTTGGATGGATTCTATGAAATATATAGATGGGTTTTTAGCCTATTAAAAAAAATAATGATAATTAAAATTAAATTTTAAACGAAGTGTGATATTTATTGATTATAGTGTGGGTCTATATTCCGTATAAATTGATATAATTAATTATTGAAATAATTTCGTTTCAAAATTTAATGTTAAGAATCTTTATATTATACGGTTAATGAATGAAATCAAGTTAAGTATTTAAATATTTATACTCAAATTTGTCTAAAATATTCAAGCTTGAGTATTTAATGAATTCTAAATAATTGAATTCATATTTAAATTTGTGGGTATTTAAATAAGTTCAAACTTATTTATGAGTTTGGACATTCACTTAAATACTTGAGTGGGTTGAGCATTTTAATTTAAATTTAAGTTTTTTTTTAATAATTTCAAATTGTTTCAAATAATCAATCATTCAACTATAAATATATCAATAGTTTTAAAAAATATTAAACTATCAAAAGTTTAAATAAGAACTTTATATTAAAGTCAACAATAAAAAAATAGTTTAAAACTTTATTTAAATATACTTATTATTAGTTCTGAAAAGCTCAAACTAAAACTTATTCAACAAATTATATGCCACCGTCCAAAAAAAAACTATTTTTTTCTTCAAGTCTTTCGGGCCTGCAGCTGAAAAATAAAAATTCACAATAAAACCAAGCTCAAATTCAAATTTAAATTTGAAACTAATCCTGTCGACTAAGTGGTTTTAACTATTTTTGTAAAGTTTATTTTTTCCTCTCCAAGAACAACAGTTCGAACCAGTCTTATGATTAAATGTTAAAAAAAAAAAAAACTCAAACTTAAACTTAAACTCAAGTGTATAATAAGTTATTATATATATTTAAATTATATATAAAGAAATTATATATTTAAATTGACACATATAAATATATAATATAATTTTAAATTTTAAATTGATTACTTGCAAATAACTTGAGATTATTATTCTAAACTTAAAATCAAACTCATTTTTTTATCGACTCAATATTAAGTTTAAGCTTGACTCATGTTGTTCAATATCAAATTCATGAGTTGAGTAACTTGAGTTTGAGTAGCTCACGAATAAATCACGAGATACACTACTCACGAATAACTCACGTGATATTTTACTTGCTAACAGTCCTACTTTACTTTATATGATAAAATAACATCATTAAAAAAAATCCATTTTTTGTAATTAAATAAAAAAAAATCTGGGCCGGACGAAATGGGACACCAATCATAGTAAGTTACAAACCAATGACCATACAAGAAAAACTGGGCCGAAAAGGTATCAAGCCACTTCATTTAAATCCTCTTGTGGGTTAGAGTTAGCCCATCGAACTTGCACTGTTTTCCTTTCCGATTCTTCTTCTTTGAAAGTCAAAATAAAAAGGAAGAAATCGCCCACCGTGGGGCTCGAACCCACGACCACAAGGTTAAGAGCCTTGCGCTCTACCGACTGAGCTAGACGGGCTTTTGACTATCCTTCTACTCTCGTTACAATTTATTAACATTTTTTTCTTTTTGGGGTAAGGACTAAGGAACAAAGATGATTAGTGGTTTGATATGAATGGTGGTATTGAATCCTTATAATTAAGCACTTTTAAGACTTAATTGTTGCAATAATCCCGCATGCAATGGAGTCATACACAATCTTATGATTGTGGGAATCCGACCTCATAAATCCTTGGCAATTCACTTAGAGTCTTAGACTTCATTCACCAAATTTATACCATTTCCATGCATAAATTGAATTAAAATGTGTATTTGTTATGTATTGCTTAATACTTATCGGGTTTCATTAATTTACTTAAATTCCATTTTATTGTGTATTAAGCTCTTGTCAAAAATTTAATTATGCTATGGGTATGACTGAAAATAAATCTTCAACTTAATAAAAAGATTTCTTTTAAAAGATTGAAAATTTGTGCATATGAGAGTTATATAACAAAACAAAAATTTAATAATTGTAAGTTCTTAGGATGAGCTTGCCCACTAACACTGAAAGTGCCAATGCAAGGATTAAATATGTGGTTACCCCTAAATTTAAAGGTTTTTATAACTTTTTTTAGTCAAATAAGACCATTTCTCAAATGAGACCATTTCGACTTTGGCTAAAAGAGAAGACGTTTATTTTTTTATTTTGTCTTAAAAAAATAATAAATAAAATCATTGTCACCTTGATGACAATCATGCTCACCTAATGCCAACATAAACACAAGAGTATTTGTTGTATTTTAGTATATAATCAGCCACTGAAAAAAAAAAAAAAAAAAGGGGGCTGTTTTACAATTGTATTATATGAATGACACATTTTATAATAATAATTAATGGAGGGAAGATAATCTCAATATCAAAAAGCTTGCACTTTATTAATAGTTGTAAAATGTGAATGGATCAATAATTTAAATATATTAATAA